TGAGGATGCTCATTACAGGGCAGAATTCATGTCAGAGAGAGGAAGCCACTGAAGAGCCATCTAGGGGAAGGGGTTTGTCAGATGTGAGACATAGTTTGGGAGTGAGGATTCAGATTATATGCAAATGACAGTCGGGAGGAAGCCTGACTTCACAACAACGTCATGTCATGAAGACCCGTTGTTCCTTGTTCTTACTATTAGGAGAGCCAAGTTCAATCTTGGGCCAGGGCTAGCCTCACACATCTTTGAGTGTGATCCCAGAGAAGGATCACAAAGCTTGACTGGGACCAGGACAAAGAGGACCAGGTGTCCAGTTTCCCATCCCGGCTCTCTCCTATCAGCTCACAAAGCCTGGCTTTGCTAACAGTTGCCTTTTGTGTTTGACTTGGGCTTGAGATGTTAAACAAACAGTTGCTCTTGACAAACGCAAGCCGCAAACCGCTGCAGTGGGACTGGTTATGCTCTGTAAAGCCAAGATAATCCCCAACTTCACTCCCTCCAGAGACACACCAAAAAACCCATAGAGCATACCCAGAGCACCCTAAATCTGACCAGCCTGCCATTTGAGTCCATAACTATTAGCACAGCAATCTGTGCCAGCCATTCCCTGTCTTCCTCTGCAGTTCCTAGTTCTGGACCCCCTTCTCGGACCTGCCCCTTACTGATGAGAGGGCCATGGATCTAGGCCTTGCCAACTGCCTGTCAACCAGGCCGGTGGGAAAGGCTGGAGGAGGGTTTGCAGAGCCTTCTCTGCCCTGGCTGCCATGCTAAGGCTGTGGAGTTGAGTGAGGCCTATCCCTGCCCCACAGTAGCTTATGGTCTGCTCTAGGCAGGATGGGCAAGAATTTCACCTGGGGCTCTGGTCCAGCTCATACCTAACAGGATCAAGACATGAATCCAGCTTGTCTGACTCAGAGCCAGCTCCTCCACTCCCTTCTGTACTGGTCCTGCCCCAGTTTCTAACCAAACTGCCCAGACAGCAGGACTCAGACATGACGGACAGAGGGGTCTCTCTGCTGCTAACCGTCAGCCACAGTCTGAACCTGTGAATGAACACAGCTAATCAAAGGACCACAGCTCTCATTTGATGTTTATCTCAGAGCATCAAAGTGGGAAGGGGCCTTTTGACACAGCCAGTGCTTTCGTCTTGCAGAAAAGGAAACTGAGGCACAGAGAGGCCAATCCACCCAGCAGCACTGGCACTAAACTCCAGGCCTTTAGACTCAAAGTTCAATGCTCTCTCACTGCTTCCTTGGGCCTTGGACACCTGAATCTGTCTTTGTCCTCCTCTTCCCTCCAGCTTCAGAAGTGTCTGTCTGCAATTACAGAAGAAGGTGACAGGTCCTTCTGCCTGGGACTGGGCCAGCTGTGCCCCTCTGCCACCAATGCTGCTGGGACAGGATTCTTCAAGGCCTTCATTTGTGTCCTGAGAACCTAAGGAAATATGTGGGCCAGCACTGATGTACAAAGCACTGTGGGAAGGATAACGAGTGTAAAAAGGGTCTCCACCCTGGAGAAAATATCAAGCCGGGGGGAAGACATATGAAAGAGCCAAGTAATCCAGTAGGCAAGAGGAGTAACCAGCTGAATTGAAGCTCAGACAGAAGTCTGAAAGGGCAAAGGAGCCAGTGGTTCTGATGGAAGCAACTAGGGAATGCTTTTTAGAGAGAGTGGACTTTGAGCTGGGTCTTGAAGTCTGAATAGGAGGTTGACAGACAGAAGGTCGGAGAGACAAGAAGTTACCAGCACCCTAGCTTTTGGAAGCTACCTGGGTCACATGAAGCATGAAAGCACTCAGATGTGTTTAGAGCTTAAAGAGAATGGAGTGGAAGATAAAGCTGGGAAATAATTGTGTATAATGCTTAGTGGATAATAAAATACATCAACTAATGATAAGTTCTGTGCAATTTATCCTAACTCTGCTAGTGTCCCTTTTCTCACAAACTAGAGAAAAGCAATGGCTCTTCCCTTTTTTTGCCTAGTTCTTAGGAGAACTAGAAAAACAGCAGGCCAGGGAGGTTGGGGATGTTGTAAGTGAAGGAAGTGTAGATATTTCCTGATCCAAATTCTCCACTTGTGGGAATGCTAACCAAGGCACTGGGAGAAGGAGAGGCTGACCCCAAATGCCATAACAAATATGAGGCAGAGACAGGCCTACCTCAGGCAGGTGCAGGCGGGTCCAAGGAGTCCTGCGTGAAGGAAGTGGGGTAGACTTCTAGGTCTTTGGCACAGTCTACCCAGGCAGGGACTACTCAAAACCTAGTCTGTGCCAGCGCATGTCCTCTATCCCAACTCTCCCTCCACAGAGACAGGATGAGGAGGACACCCTGCTGACCTCCTGGGCTCCAGGGTTCTGTGTTATGTGCTAACAGTGCCTTGATCTCATACATAACGGTCACTACATGTCATGGAATATGAGCCCTACACCCATGCACTCTCTGGGCAATCTTCAGCAGCACCTTCCTGCTCTCTGGGCCTCAGTTTCCTTACCTGTAACATGAGAAGGTTGGACTTCGTGGTCTCTAATGGTCCTTCCAGTTCTGAAGTGCTGTGAGTACAAGCTTTGTCCTAATTAATAATAAATGCCCTGCCCCCAAAAAGAGCTTTCTCCCTTTTCCAAAGCTTTTTCGTTCATATCGCCTTTCATCTGTACAGCCGTCTGGCTTGGCAGCCAGAAGTGAGCACACCCTGAACACAGACAGCATTCTCACCCTAAAAACCAGGCCTAGCAATCCACTTGTGCCCCTAGACAGACTTTAGGGGAACTGACTTCTGGAGTGATTGTGACCAGGAGCCAACACATCAGAAGGGCACAGGACCTAACTTGTACCCCACCCTGGAAGCTGGGAAAAGCAGGGCTCTTCCAGAGAGCCAGGAGATGCTAGGGGAGAAAGCCTCCATTGCCTGAGTTCATGACCAGAGGGCAAGACCAGGCAGTCTGTGTCCGCAAAGAATCAAAGGCCTTCCTTTGTGGAGTGGGGAGTTGGGGGGGAGCGGGGGGAATGAGGGGGACAAGTACTATGAATTCAAGTCCTCTCAGCCAGGCTCTGGATCTGGAAACCTGAATCCGAGGGGATCAAAAGCCATCCGAGAGCCTCATATTGTCTCATTCGCATACATGTGGTTTCCTTTTGCCCCTTAACATCAACTGCGTCGAGGAAGTCGGTAGAGCTAGAATAATGATCTAACCCACTTTTCAGATGGAAAAAGTGAGACACAAGAAGTCATGGAAAAAAACATGGACTTGGAGGCAAACACACTGAAGCTTTGACCTTGGCAATTATCTGTATTGCTTTTGACCTCAGTTTCTCCATCTATAAAATGGTCCTAAGTATAAGCAGCTCTACCTTTCAAGACTGTGGTAAGGACTAAAGATAATGAATGCAATGCACCCAGCAAACAAATAAAAGATGCTTGATAAATATTTGTGGATGAATGGTGGAGGAATGAATGGGTTGGTGATGCTTCCAGGGTGCCACTGGAGAAGGAATGTGGTGTCTGGCAGTGACAGGCCAGCCCAGGATGTGGCAGATGGTGCCCCCAGCCTGGCTGGCTGCCTCTTGAGCCTGTCCTCTGTCAGGATCCTTGGGTCTCTTCCATGTCTCTCTGCGTGGCCTAAGCCAGGGTCCCGTGAAGGACTGTTTGACCCTCCTTGGCACTGGGATTTGCATTCCAGTCATTCTGTGCTCTCAGCCCATCCAAGACCAGAGCTGTTTGGAGCTGAATAAGGTCTGTGGGATCATCTGCCATGACACCTTATGGAAGAGATAAGGACATGAGCGCTGAGAAGAGCAGTGACACCTTGCCTGAAGTCCCACTGCCTAGCCCTTCTTCTTGCCACACAACTGGCATCTTGACAAATGAAGAAACTGAAGTAGAGGGAGCTCCTACACCAGTTTTCTAGTCTGTCAGTGAGCCTCTGTATGTGAGTGCCACCTGTCCAGCTTCAGCAATGTCCTAGTCCTGCTTGTATGCCCCAAGGCAGCATCTAGCTCTGTCTCTGGCAGGCAGGCCTAACTCTTGCCAAGCACGCTGGTACAGGGCAAGAGCTGAGGCTGTCAGGCCAGCCTAAAAGTCCCTGGGGAAGAGAGCAGGAGGCTGGGATTACCGACTGTGCTTTCTCAGCCAGTTCCAGGCACTGTGCTGACCTGGGGAGGGACCCATTTCATGAGAGCAAGGCTTTCCCTTGGGTGTCAGTTCATGTATGTCCAGGGCCACAGCTGGGCCCTGCTTGCTTCTAAGACAGTGGGAGCCTAGAGTAGGGGAGGAGTGTGGCCTGGGGAGGAAGAAAAGCTTGGCTGAGTCTCAGTGCTGTCACCAACTCACTGTGTGCCCTGTTCCTCAGTTTCCTCACCCATGTGATAAGGGTCAGGATACCAAGGTCCAGTGTCCTGCTCCAGCTGTGGTATGATGTGATTGGGTGGGAGGGTGGAGAGAGGAGGAAGCTCACTCTGTCCTTTCCCCTTCATTGGTTTTCTGTCTTTTTCTGGGCCACCAGTTTATCTCCAGCTCTCCAGGTCCCTCTGACTCAGTCCGCTGCTGTTTCCATCCTTTGGTATTTTCCTGCCTGCCTCTTCTTTTCCTAGGTCTGTGTGTCTGCCTCTGGTTTTGTCTCCTCCATCACACACACCCCTGCCCTCAGCCCTATTCCCTCTCTCCGTAGTTATCAGTGCTTCCCTATCTAGTTTTCTCCCTCTCTGGGCCTGGCGCGCTGAATCTCTCTCCCTCTCCATCTTCATCTCTCCCTCCCTCCCTCTCTCCCCCCTCCGTCCTGCCCGGGCTCTCCCGCTCGCTCCCCCTTCCCTCCCCTCGGCCAGCCCCCCTCCCTCGGCGCGGCTCCCCAGTCCTTATTTGGCTGGGCGGGAGGGCTGGCGGGAGGCGGTGGCCGGCGGACAAGGGGCGGGCGCGGGGGCGGGCGCGGGGCCGGGCGGAGGAGGGCGGTGGGTGGTGCTGAAGGGACAGCTCCGCGGCGGCGGTAGCGGTAGCGGCGGCGGCCCGGGGTGCGGAGCGGGTGCCCGGCGCGGAGAGCTGCGAGCGCAGCCATGCCCCAGGCCGCCTCCGGGGCAGTAGCAGCGGCGGCCGGGGCGCTGGCCGGGGGCGCCGGGGGGCCGACGGTGGCCCGGGGACGACGATGAAGCGGCAGAATGTGCGCACGCTGTCGCTCATCGTGTGCACCTTCACCTACCTGCTGGTGGGCGCCGCGGTCTTCGACGCGCTCGAGTCGGAGCCCGAGCTGATCGAGCGACAGCGGCTGGAGCTGCGACAGCAGGAGCTGCGGGCGCGCTACAACCTCAGCGAGGGCGGCTACGAGGAGCTCGAGCGCGTCGTGCTGCGCCTCAAGCCGCACAAGGCCGGCGTGCAGTGGCGCTTCGCCGGCTCCTTCTACTTCGCCATCACGGTCATCACCACCATCGGTAATTACTCGCCGCGCGGGGTGGGGGCTGCAGGGGGCGAAGGGCGGGGACAGGGGCCAGCAGGAGCCCGCTGCGGTTGGGGGCTCCCCGCGGAGAGGAGCTGGGCGCCAAGCCCGCACTCCCAGCCACCGGAGCGCAGCCGGTGTGTCTGCTCTGCGGGGATGGGACTCCGGGGAGGCGTCGATTCCTGGCTCCGGTCCTCAATCTCCGCGTCGGGCCGGCCCTAACTTGGCCCTGACAGGCTGCGCGATGACCCCGGGGGATTCAAGTGTGTGAGAGGGGCAGGAACGGCCGCTAGCGGAGGCTTGGGAGGAGGGGTGTGGTCGGGCTAGGCCCTGGAGCTGGGCGCCGAGTGTGAGCAGCGGGAGCGCGCGACCGCTCCGTGTCCCTGCGGATGAGCTTCAGCACCCGGCGTACACACCTGCGGGGCTTCGGAGAGACATGTAGATGCTGGCTCCCGGCACTCCCTAGCACTCAGGGCCACTCTGGGGGCCTGAAACACCCTCTAACTGCAGTTGCTTGAGGTGTGTGTGTGTGTGTGTGTGTGTGTGTGTGTGTGTGTGTGTGTCCACCTCCGGGAGTTTGGTCACCACTGGCCACTGCCTGTAATTCTTTTAGGGCAGCAGAGCTGGTTCTGGGAGCCAGATTCAGCCCTGTCAGCCTTCTTCCACACTGTCCCAGCACAAAAGTCACCTCAAGAATTGCTCTAGTTCTCTCCCAAGCCAGGCATACTCAGGTCCTCTGACAGCACAGGTACACACAGAAAACACACTGAGCACACACACATGTATTCACACCAATGGATGCCCAAAAGAGAAAGCTCCCTCCAACTAGGCCTCTGACAGTGTTGCTCAAGTGTCCAGATAGGATTAAACACCTTACCCACTCCCAGGACTCTGTGATTCCAGTGCAGGTCCATCACTACCCCACTGTATGACCTTGGACAAGTCCCTTCCCCTGCCTGGAACACGGGCTCATGTCCAGACAGGGAGAGGTTGGCCAAAATGATCTCAAGGGCTCTTCCCAGACCTGACGTGCTTAGATTCTGAGATTGGAAACCCACCTTCCCCCAAAGCCATTGGGATGCCTCCAGGAGCTGTCTCCAAAATCTTTTCCTCCTCCTTCTCTCCCTGACCCCCTCCTTGCATTGGCTGAGCTCCCAAGGGCTTATTGCCATTTGGCATAGCCTATGACAAGATGGCAGTGCTTTCCTGGGAGTCAATAGGAGTTGAGAGGGTACAAGGTAGAGCTGGACACTGTCCCACTGCAGGACTCTGTTCCAGAGCTCTGCAGATCTCTGGGGACCCAAAACCTGTCCAAAGGGGAATCTCAAAAGCAGCAGACAAGGTTTGGTCTGCGGTCCCACCCTCTCACACCCCACTGCCACCTGCCTGCATTTTGGTAGTGGTTTAGCTGTCCGGAGAATTTAGAAAAAAGTGAGCACCCTTAGACCCTCCCTCTCCCAACACCAAGTCCTTGCTTATTGTCCCTCTCTTTCTCAGTCCCCTGGGGACTCCACAGTCATCTCCCAACCAACCTCCTTGCCTCCAGCCTCATTCCTCCAGCAAATCACATCTCCTCCCCCTCCCCAGCCCAGCCAATGCTGCCAAAGCCCAGCTCCTAGTTCCAGTTCCCTCCTTGGAAGCCCCCCTGGTTTCCCAACTGCCACAGAATCGGGGCCATGTTTCTTATCCCAGATTTTAAGGACCTTTATACCTGACTCCAACCTCTACGTCTGACTTGCATTTCTCACTTCTTACTTACATGAACCTTCTCCATGGCAGCCAAGCTGTCCCCTGAGAACGTGTTTAGTGTGCGTGTCCAGCATGTCTTTTTCTCCATCTTCTATTTATCTTGTCCAATCCAACCCTCTAGGTCTAGCTCAAATCCCACCCCGTCCTCAAAGGCTCCCAGGCCACTGCTTTGGACGATTTCAGGATTTACTTACTGTCAAGACGACATAGGTGACCCAGTGCAGGCACTTTTGAATGGTTGTTTACATTTTAGGGGATGTGTTTTGTCTCTTTAACCACACTGTAATTAATCTCCTGGTGGACCTATAGGGCAACAGAGCCCTATAGGTCCCGTTGCTGTGTTCCCGGTGCCAGCATGGTACCCAGCGGCTGTGAGCACTTGGAGAATGCTATTGATGGGTTGACTGTGTGTAGAAATGATAGGGCATTGCCCTGACCCTCTAACCCTGCTGTGGCTTCCCAAAGTGCTTGTGGTCCTCACCTAGAGATGCTAAAAGCTGGGGCTAGAGGCAGAGTGACTTTCTGGTGATTATTTATTTATATAGTGCTAAACAGAAGAAAGATGCCATCAGATTACCATGCCAGTTCTGAGGGTCCCCAGGCTGGCACCATCCAACCTAATTTTTTTCACCTCTCTCTCTGGCTATGCCACCTAGCTGGAAGTTGGTGGCTCAGCTTTAAGAAAATTCTTCCCGAGCCAGGCATGGTGGTACACACCTGTAATTCCAGCTGCTTCAGAGTAGAAGCAAGAGGATTAAGGACAAAAGTGCCAGACCCTACCTGAAAAACAAACTAAAAGGAAAAGGACTGAGGGGCGTGGCTCAAGCGATAGAGCACTTGCCTGGTGAGAGCCAGTAAGGAAGGAAGGGAAGAAGGGAGGAAGGGAGGAAGGAAGGAAAAGGAAAGGAAGAAGGGAAAAAAGAAAACATTGCTTAAACTATTCCTGACCCAAAACCCAAGGGCAGCCCCTGTCTACCTGCCTCCTTGAGAACCTTTCATGGGACCCATTGGGATAGAATAATGACAGAACTTCCCATTTGTTTGGTACCTTAGTGACCACAAAGCTTTTATGTCATGGTTGGTTCTCAGCCTTCACAACTCAGTGAAGTTGCCAAGTTAGGTATTGTTAGCTCTGTTGTGTGGATGAAGTTGGGGGCTGGGGGGACAGGTCAGGGAAGGGAAGAGCCCCTGCCCAGTACCACCCAGCTGGTGAACAGCAAAGTCAGAATGGGAAGCCGGGTCTTCTGACTCCAAGCCCAGTGTTCTTTCCCTGCTGGTCTGTTGGCTGCTTCCTCTACCTCCATATGTTGTGAAGCCCAGACCCAGCCAGGCCTGGCAAAAGCCACCAAGTGCTCAGTGATGCCAGCTTGCAGGGCACTCACAGGCAGTCCTGATTGGCTGAAGGTCAGCAGGGTCTGACTTAGTCATTCACCTGGTTAGTCACAGTCTCCACTGGCTTCAAGGATCCACCTACTCCCTCATCCCTGGTCTCCCAGCCAGGGAACCCTTCCTTTGTTGTTGCCTAAGTTGAGCAAACACAAATGGAAACTTTCCTTAGGAAACCTAACCCTCCCTAGCTGTTGAGTCATCAACTCCTCCAGGCCCCAGCCCCCTCTATTCATAGCCCAAGGCTGTCAGAGCAGGAAGGGGCCTGGGGATCAGCTGGTACCACCCCCTCCTCCTACAGATGAGGAACCAGAGAGGTGACAGGAGTCACACAGTGGGGAGTGGGGGAGCAAAACCTGTCTCCCAGGCCCCTGCTCCTTCCACTTGTCCATGATGCCTCTTTAGTCTGCTATTTATTTACTTTCTGTGAGATGCTGGAGTGGAACCCAGGCCTCACGCATGCTACTCAGGTGCTCTACCACTGAGCTACACTCCCAGCCTCTGTTATTTTTATTAACAGCTGCAGCAGCAATAATAATAATAGCAGATACCTTTTATTATCTACACGGTGGCGGGCTCTGTCATTTGTACCCCCTCACTGAATTCTCACCAAGCCTTCAAAATGAGCATCATGACCCCCATGTTTCAGGTGAGGAATTCCTCCACAGCCTCAGGTCGCAAAAGTAAGGCACCTGCCCAGATTCAGGGGGTCCCCCCTGGATTTTTTTACCAGTTTGTTTTCCACTTCAAGAATCCAGTCCAGATCCTTGTTTCTAAGGTACTAAGCAGCCCAGTTGATTGTTCCCTTGCTCCAGCACCCTACAGCCAGCCTACTGTTCCCCCATAGCCTGGCGTCTGACCAAAGCAGACCATGAGCCCCAAGCTGTGCCTAGCAATTCCTGAGGCTGCCACAGGCTTACATGTGCTGGTTCTCTCACGGCAGATCCGGGAATCCTTGTAGCTCTAAGGCAACAGGAGACCAGGTGACTGATCAGCTCATGGAGCTAGGGCAAGAAACCTTTTCTGCTCCTCCCTCAGCTGCCAGCCTGTCCTCAGCTGAGCATAGCCTCCCATCGCTGGCCACTTGGTCTGGGAATCCTGAGGCTGAATTCACACATGTGGCTCCTGAGGGAACCTATACTTTTTAATATCTTTTCAAGAAAGAGGAAAGTCCAGAAGTGACCTGACACCCTCATAATTACAGAGCCCTGTAATAAGAGGAGAGCTTAGCAATCATCCACTCAGAGAGGTGAATAACCAACCTGCCCAAAGTCACACAGCAAGTAGAGGGATTAATTAGACGCAGGTCTTTTGGGGCAAATTCCCTGTCTCCCCAACCACACCCACACATATACCCATGCTCCACCATCTCTCAGCACTGAGGCTTTGGGTGCCCCCTGTTCTGTAGTCCTCTCTCCACCTCCCTGGAGGAAGGAGGGGCAGCCCAGGCTGGGATAGTCCCTGGACTCTCTCAGGATTTCCTTTCTCCTTCCTAAAAGCTAGCCTTTCTCCTTTGAGCCCACAAGCCTTTTCTGCAGAGTGGTGGAGGAACTCAGGCCCTGAATGGAAGCCAGAGTGCCTGGCTTCATCTCAGCCCAGTCCTCATCACCCACCCCTGCCCTCCCCTGACGGGATGACCTTGGACAAGTTATTTAATCTCTCAGAGCTTGTTTTGTCAGTTATAAAATGGGGGATAATAATGTCCGCCTCCCAGGATTAAATGAGATCAGGCAAAGAAAGTGTCAGGTGGTAGAGAGCAAGCACTTAATAAATGGTATCTGTAATTACTACTATTATTAATATTGGTCACGTATTATTACCTCCCCTCTGAGAGAACTGCTCTGCCTCCCCAGTGTTAAA